TTTCCCTACAAATAAGATGGACACCATAGCAGTACCTCGTTAAATCTGTTTTAAGAAGGCATTCATGAAGGGAAGGGGTAGTTTAGGAAGGAAGGAAATGGCAAAAAGGAAGAACTTACCATGGTCTCTACTTACTTTAACCGTTTGCTGTTTCTGTGCTGAAAAATCTGATTATAGTTTTTTAGCTAGTGGAACATTTCTTGGGGTATCTCCCAGCCTCTGTTGAGGAACAAATGATCCATTCTGATAATAAACTGATAAACTCCCCAGCCAGGAACAGTTAAGGAAAATCTCTCTTCCTTGGCTCTATCTGGAGTCTCTCCTTTCATTATCCACTAGTTCTCTTTTGCATCTTACATCTTCCTGCATCTCTCTCTTGCTGGTCTGTCTTTGAGGTGTACCTCCTTGTATCAGGCCATTTATAATGCTTAGAATTTCAGTCTCCTTGAATTTCTCAAGGTTAAGACTTTCAGGGGAGACATTTTATCAACTCTCTTCATAGCTATTCCTGTTTCTATTGCCAAGTTGTAAGGAGGGTCCATCTTCTCTAATACATGCTATAGATGAGGAATGCCTACTGCAGCCACCGATTGCTGGAGAATGAATTCTCCCTTGACATCGTTCTGCCCTCTTTCTCTGCTCTGCTTAGCGTCCGTGCTCTAATCCACTTAACTGTGTTGCTAGCTCTTGGACTGCAAGAGAACAGTTAGTTTGAATAGTCTAGCAGCTATTTATTTATTGCTAATCACAGATTTAAATAGCTAAGGGTTGGTTATTGGTCTCACGTAAGGGAAGTCTGAGAATAATGTAGCGGCCTAAGGAAGATACCATGGATCCAGACTCACCATTTTACTCCATCATTCTTAGTATGTGGGCCTTGTCCTAAATGCTTTTCACCTCATGGGTGAAAGGTGCCTGCTGTGCTACAAAGTGTACCACATCCATTTTCTAAGGTTGAAGAAAGAGGGTGTGGATGTGATGGGACCAGCATCCCTCCACATTCCTCTCATTGGCCAGCACTGTCACATGCCCCTCAGATCTCAAGACCAGCTGGGAAATGGAGATTTTAGCTTTCACTGCTTCAACTGGAGAGAAAGATATGGAAGAAGAGGGTTGGAAAAGGACACTGTATCAGCCAGACCATAGCGACTGCCACATCTGTGAACTGAAGAAGCCCCTTTTCAACCAATCCCCGATGGTCAGCAGTGATTGATTCCATGGTGGTTCCTATATTTCACTATCACACTCCTTCCCTAATTTCACATAGCACACTTTCTCTGTTTAAAAGTTAAACACCCACTCTGTAGGCCACACTAGAACACGAAAACAATCACAATAATATTCATTTGTTTATGAATTCCCTCAGTTAATGTTCAAATTATTGAGTATCTATCTTCTATTGCCAAGCACTGGGATACAATGTTGACTAATGTGTGTTTTTTTAATCATTGAGCAAATGTCTTATCTGTACAGTGCTTTATCAATTAGAAATGCTTTCAGATACTAAAAAGCAGAAACTTTAAATAACAATGACTTAAATCTACTTACAGTCTATAATTTACTTCTAAAAAATTCAAAAGGTGAGTAGCTCCACAATCTTAGGGTGCTAGGATTTACTTCTGTGATTTTCCTCATAGTTACAAAAAGGCTGCCACAACTCTAAGCATTTTATTTTTCAATAATGTGTCCAAAAGGCGGCCAAGATGGTGAGAGAACTGTTCTCTCATGCTTCCTTCTTTAATCAGAGAATACAGTCTTCCCTAGAGGACTCCTCAGCTGATTCATTGTCTAGAACAGGGTCATGTGGCCACCAGAAGTATCTAGTGAATAAGAAAGAGAGATTGGGAATTAATATTTGGTAGCTAACCAAGAGTATTGTCACAGATGCTTTATAGCTTTCCACATATTTTTACATTCATGATCTCATCTTATGACTCAATGGGACTACCATCCAAACATGCTGGAAACTCAAACCTGGAATAAGAGGTATAAGCAGCATTTGCTATGTGAGAACTTCTGGCTGGGAAGTAATTTAAAGATCCTTTTGAAGGTGCAAATTTAATGCAAGGGTTTTAAAAAATAGTATAATGCATTTTGCCTATGAAGTGTGCAAAGAAGAACTCAAGGAGTAACTCAGATGACTCGGTAGTTTGGGAAGATAATTACATGGTGGAATGAAATGAGACATCAGGGTACATGGATTCGAGGCTCAGCTCTGGGTAAGACACTGGAAGGATTTTGAGCCTCTGCTTCCTCATCTGTAAAATTACACACTTGAACAAAATTAGATGACCCTAAACTTCTCAAATATAACAGTATCTATATAGTCATGCTGCTAGAAGTCAGGAGGTAGAATCATCTATTTCCAACCTCTTTTTTACAAATGAGAGAACTTAGGCCCAGAAAGGGCACCGCTTGTCCAAATTCACTCCTCTAAGTCAGAAATTTGAGTCCTAGTATGTAATACACTATGCTTTCATGAGTAATTGATACTGCTTCCTGATAGATTAAAAAAGAAAACAACCAGCCTCCTCCTCTATCTTCATCTTCATCTTAGGCAGAATCTCTTCAATAGCATTTACTCTGTTTAATAGAATGCAGATAATGAGATGTTTTTTGAAGTCCACCTTTTAGCTGTAAGGTCTCAGGCAAATTACTTAACCTCTCTGTAAAGTAATAATTGTACCTCCTTCATATTTTTCTGCTTTTATTTTGAGGACTAGATAAAATAGTCTATTAAGAAGACTTAGTGTAGGGACTGAGACACAGCCAGGACTTAAATCTCAGGCAGCCATCTCGGTGCTTCAAACTCCAAATTGAGAAAGTGTCCTAGACCGATATCCACAGTGGGTGTGTGGAGGGTGAGTCCAAATCTCACTCATTATTTTGTCTTTATGGAGTCATACCTTCTACCTATACATGATACAGATCTGAAGGCTCTGTGTAATAACTAGGTCATGATACATAACAGAAAGTCAGGCCAATCATTATTACACAGTCACTGAACTCATTAACCAGTGACTTGAGCAAGACAAAAATAACTTAAATCAGAGCATTTGATCAGGGCATCTGATCACGGAAGGGATGCAGGGAAACAGGGAACCATCTGACATTTTATTGAAACAGGTTTTCTCAACCTCAGAACTACCGATATTTGGGGCTGGATAATTCCGGGGGTCTCTCCTGTGCCTTGTAGGGTGTTTAGCAGCATCCCTGACCTCTGCCCACCAGATGCTAGTTCACGATAATCAAAAATATCTCCAGACCTTGCCTAATATCCCCTGGGAGGGGTCATACTCTCCCTTGAGAACCACTGTGAGAAAACTTGATACTACTGTGCATTTTTTTCTTTTTCTGGGAGGCTTATCAGTTTCACCATATTCTTAAAAAGGTCTATGACCTCATAAAGGGTTGGAACTAATTACACAAAGCCTTTCAAAATAATAATGAAAGAACGCACATCTCCAGCTGTAATTAAAAATAAAAAGTACTCTACCATGGCGAATTAAAAGGGTACAATTTGAAAATTTACTGTGAAATATATACCTACCCAGTTATTAACTTTCAACTGCTTTGAAAAAGCACAAACTGTACTGAGAAAGTAGCTGCTTCACAAACTGCTATTCCCAGATGGCAGGATTCTTAAAATACCGTCTTCAGCAGAGACCCACAGTCTACCGAATGTAGCTCTAAATTTCCAGAGAGGTTAGCGCTAATGACAAGAAAAAAAAAAAAAAAAGGACCTTAAGTCCAGAGGGGAAATCAGAATCCGTGTTTCTCAGTAAAGAAATTCAATGGCGGTATTGATTGCAAGATTGATTGGACGTAGGGATGGAAGAGAAAGGGGGGAGGGGAAGAGAGAGGAGAGGGGGAGAGCGAGAGAGAGAGACAGAGACAGAGAGAGAAAGAGGCGAGGGAGGGACAGGGAGAAATGCTTTGAGAGGTTCCTGAAGAGGATGTTTCTTGGGGGAGGCTCGCTGTCATCTCCCCCTGCTTTCTCCCTGGCTTGGCTGGAAAGGCGGCTGCCTGACGGAATCCCTGAGCCTCGGGTTCTCCGCTCTCGCCTCTCATTCCCACGCCCCACTGGCCTTGTTCACCCCCTTACAAAGTGACCACGTGCCAAGAGCTCCTGAAAGCTCAAAAGGGTCACCGCGCCCAGTCTCTAAGGAGCTCCTTTCCATCTCCGTCTCCTAAAGGCGGTCGGAGACCGGAGCTTAAACCCCAAATACCAGACCCCCGAAAAGCGAACGGGGAGCGTGTTTCATCTTCCAAGCCCCTGGCGAGCACCCGAGAGGACAAGCAACTTTCGCCCCTACTTCTCGGTCTCTCCGCCCCCGCCACTCCCGCTTTGGAAGGAGTCGCGGGGCCAGGAGGGCTGGAGAGGGCTCGGGGCCGGAGGAGCTCAGACAGCCGCCCAGGGGGTGGGAGGAGACCCCGGCGCTCGGCGGCCGCGCGCCCCGCCCCGCCCCGCGTGCCGGGAGGGTCCCCGCCTTGGCGCGCCGCGCCCTCGCCGCGTCCGCTCCGGGTCCCGGCGGGCGCGAGGGGAGGGGACAGGAGAGAGAGGAGGGCCGGGCGGCGGAGGGGAGGAGGCGCTGCGTGCCTCGCCTGCCAAAGGCAGATCCGCCCCTCCGCCCGCGAGCTACAGCGCCCCGCGCGCGGCCACAGCGCTCCGCCCGAGCCGCCGCCGGAGAGCCGCGGGAAGCGGGGCTGCACGGGTGGCGGTGCCGCGCGTCCTCCCGGAGCCCTCCGCCTGCTGCCGGCCCCTGCTCTCCCTCCCGCGTCGGGCCGGGGGCTCCGCGGCTGTTAGGGACCGCGGCGAAGCGGGAAGGACGGTCTTGGCGTGCCGTGGATGCTCCGCCCGGGAGAGACAGCAAGTTGTGAGTGCGCCCCGGCGCCGGGAGAGAAGGTGGCCGCCGCCCGCCAGCCCGGTGAGTCTCGCGCGCGGCTGCCCCGGGGCGCGGGTTCTGCTCCTTTCTCTCCGGACGCCGGAGTTGGGCTGCTCCCGGGCTCCGGACTTCCTGAGCTGGGCTGCCGGCCGGCTCTCCCTGCCCGCCGCGTCCGCTGCTGGCGTCTGCCTCCGGGGGGTGCTGCCTGCCCATCCTCATCCGCTCCCTCCGCGCGGGGCCGGCTGGAAAACGCCCCTCTCCCGCTTTGGGGGTTGAGGGATCCTTGTGTGTCTTCGGAGTGGGGTGGGGGAGGCCTTTGCCGGGGGCTGGCTAACCCCGGGGCGCCTTTCCCCAGCGCGAGGTGAGGGCGGTCTCCACCCCACCTCCCCGTGCCACCCGTCTTCCCCAGCCTCAGGGCCCAGCAGACCAACTTCAGCCGCTAATGCTGATGCTGACCGCAGTTGACAAGATTTAAAAAAAAAAAAAAAGTAGCCGGAGCTCCCCTGGAGTGACACACTGGGGTGGAAATGGGGTGGTGGGTGGGAAGGAAAGGGCAGGGGCGAGGGTTGGGAAAGGAGGGGGGTGGGTGACATTAAGCTGGAGTTAAAAGAGTCCTGGGGATGGAACTGGGGTGCGTGGCTCTGGGCTTCTGCATTCTCTCTGAAAAGTGTGGGAAGTGGTTCTGGAACTCTTTCTGAGAGGGAGGGAGGTATGGAAGTGAATGCACGTGGAATCACTAGAATGACTGGGGTTCGATGTAGAGTCCTGGCAGGTATGGATTCTTTTTCAGATTAGACACTGACACTCGTTCAGCAGTAGAGATGGTTCCAATAATTTAATTGGAGGCCGTGAATCAAAATTGCAGGTATGAAAATAAGTCGTACACAGGCTTTCTTTCGTTGACACTAGAAGATAGTTGAGATTGAAGGCATTCACAAACGCTACTGAATGACGACTGGGGATGCCTAATAGTCCCATCCATTCTGTATGCCTGGGCAGTCTGTAGTTGTGAAAGTGATCCTAATTATTTTGTTCGGGCTCGTGGAGAGTGTTAATGCACTTAAAGGGACAAGAGAAGTTGCGACAAGTTATGAACATGAACTTGCAAGCCAACTGAACAAACCACGGTATGGTTCATTTTATTATAACATTCGGAATTATGTTTACTGCCGGTAAATATGCTACATTACTTTTAATGTGAGTATATGAAATGAATTCACTGGCTTGGCAAGTAGAAGTCATGCATTTCTTTAAGTGCATGAGTTAATTTGGGGACATTTATAGGAGATAAAGACATGAAAAAGGTTTAAGCCAGTCTGACAACATTTGAATTACGGAGAAGTTTATAGAGAGAAGGGATTCTTCTCACTTTTGAAGTATGGAGGCATCTTTGACTGTTTATTAATTGAAAGTTGTAGACCCACTGAATCGGTGTTAATCGCGTCTCTAAAAACATTTAACTTTTAATATTTCTTATGGTTTTACCAGGGACCATCTTCCTTACTGCACAGGATGGGAAGTTGATGCCCAGTAAGACTGAAGATCCGTTCTGTTAATAGACACTCTCCCATCACAGAACTGTGGATTACCTGTGGGTCCCCAGTGGTTTCACACCTTCACTCCCTCCTGCAGACCCAGAAGAGTTACTTTGGGTCCTCTTTGCCCCGTCTGGTGAAAGATGGCATCCAGTCTGACTTGCACCGGGGTCATCTGGGCTTTGCTCTCGTTTCTTTGTGCTGCCACTTCCTGCGTGGGGTTCTTCATGCCTTACTGGCTCTGGGGATCTCAGCTGGGCAAGCCTGTGTCCTTCGGTACTTTCCGGAGGTGCTCGTATCCCGTGCACGATGAGAGTCGGCAGATGATGGTGATGGTGGAGGAATGTGGGCGCTACGCCTCCTTCCAGGGCATCCCCAGCGCAGAATGGAGGATTTCTACCATCGTGACAGGCCTGGGCTGTGGCCTCCTCCTGCTTGTGGCGCTCACCGCCCTTATGGGCTGCTGTGTGTCGGAGCTCATCTCCCGGACAGTGGGAAGAGTGGCTGGAGGAATTCAGTTTCTGGGGGGTAAGTGACTTCGCTAAATTTACATTGTTTACTGGAACCCCAAAGCAATATTGAAAGTTGTGTTCCAGTTATCTACTGAGATTATGGTAATTGACGCTTGGAATGCTCGGGGGACATAGGCTCTGGCGACAGATTGCCAAAGTCAAAGATGCTTTACAACTTCCAGAGCTCTTAATTTCTGTACATCCTTAAACATGAACATCATTGGCCTGCTCAGTACCACGCCTGTGAGGCAGTGGTGTCTAGGTCGTTTATCATGTAGTCCAGGAGACGCTTTGGATTTTAGAGCTGCTGGCGCTTGATGATCAACAGCAAGCAATTACAGTATCTGTGTCTTTCTGGAATCCTCAGGTCTTAAGAGATGAAAACTTCATACAAAAGTAGAAAAGGTTTTTGATTCAACATTGTCATCATAAGCCTTTAATCCTTTCTGGTGGATGTAAAATTGAGCCCTGCCCCATCTTAAACTATATTTCTAAATAAATGATTACTGTTTTAAATGAGAGATCAGTTTTACATTAACAACTATGAATTTAACTGTGCCACAAAGATAGGCTTCATTACCTTGTTAGGGCTGAACTTCTCCCGGTGCTTTCGCTGTGAAGGAGAAAAAAAAAAAAAGAGTATTTAGCAAGTGATGTGTGTTTGTTTCAAAGGGACTGGCCAGTCTCACTAACACTAGAAAAGGTTTGATTTTTACTTGGGTTGCCTCCAACAAGTATTGCTTCAATATCTCTGGTCATATGGTTTTAATTATACTTCATGTATTTTCTGCTGTGCCTTTCACCTCCATTTTTCAACCTGACGGGCTGAACTTGTGTGATTTATAGTCTGCCTTGGTGAAATAGGACAACCTCTGTAGATAGTACAGAGTTCAAGAAAACAGGAAGCCAGGAAAACGTATAAAATGTATTCGTAACTTCATTACAAAGTAAAAGTCTGCTGCTCTTTCGTTGGGTGTTTTCTCATGGTCTTCGCTGAAAAATGCAGGAGGAGAAAAAACATTAAAAATGGAGAGTTCTGGAGTAGAGTCTGTATTGGAGAAAGCTCAACAGATGATTTAATATAAAACCTTCAAGTAACGTTTTGGGTCAGAAAATTCTCGTGCTAAAAATTCAAGTGGCTGAAAGTTTTGCGTTTCTGGGTCAGAGATACGTTGTTCGCAGTTCTTGATTTCCTTGCCAGATGTAACTTTGTTCTCATCTGTTTTCTCCCACTGGTTTTGCATCCCACTCTGCCCTAGGAGGCAAGCTGGGGGACTTACTATCCTTCCTCCAATGCTGCTTCACTGTTCAGCATTGAGCACAAGGCTTGCGTGCGATGTGTGGATTCCTACAGAAAGACAGTACAGTAAAGCTATTAGACAGTATAATGAGGTTTTTGTAGAGAGTGGAAATACAAACCCAGAGTTAAAAACTTGTTGATACCACAGATTTGAAGAATAGGACTAATGCCAGGAATATTTTAAAGGTTTCTTTCTCTTTAAGAATAACCTGGATTTGCTGTTTGTGTTTCACTTGGCTCGGGAAAAATGCTGGGGTGCTTTCTTTTTCTCCTCTCCTGGTAAATATTCCTTTTCCTTTACTTCTTCGTTTTAGGGCAGGGACTGTTATTTCTGGCAGAACAGGAAAGTGCTTACAAAGAGAAATCAGTTTTTATTGATTACCTTTAAACGTATAATGAAGGAAGGCAACAGGAAGTAAATCTGAGACTGGTGAGATTTATAGACTTGAGGGAATTATAAAGAGCTAAATGTTCTACTTTACATAAAACTCAAGGGGAGAGGCCATTGGGGAAGCTATGTATACTTTTTAAAGAACTGTTTTTTGTTTGTTTGTTTGTTTGTTTTTTAAAAGGACTGTTTTTTCCTTAGTATATGCTTTTCATGAACTCTGGTTTGGTAAGAGTTACTGACATTGAGCTGAGGATATAGGTTATTATTAGCATTTCTCAAATCCCGGCAGAAAATAATACTGAATGTAAAACCCAAGAGGGCTTTTCTGATTCGAACCTTTTGAGGGCCCGAGTTAGTAGATACATCCCATTACCCAAGATAGTAGTCATTTTAGAATTAAAAAATAACTTGAATTACGGAAAAGGTTTTGAAAAATCTGCCATTAAACATTACCATTTAGTGATAGACCAGTTGACCAAAAAAAATGCTTCAGAAAGAATTACTCCTGTTGTTGATTTCATAATTGTTTGAGTTTTTATTCATAAAAAAGTGGTAAATAACTTTATTTTATGAAAGTTTTCATAAAATGGGTGGGTTTCATAAAGACTGCAAAATACCAAACCACTGGGTTCTATGAATTCCATCAATGGCCATGCTTCCGAAATACAGTCAGAGTGCAGGGCACTCTGCTATAAGGCGGATTCTTCTACCAAAAATGATTCACCCAGAAAGGTTATGTTTAGCTAAAGTTAGGATTGCTCCAGAACAACAGGAAGCAGGATGATGGTAAAGTACAGAGGCATCCTACTTAAACATGCCTGCTGTGTCTGGAGTTGTCACATATGGTGTAACATCAGGCAGTAAAACCCCTGCAGTACTTTGGAACTAGTTAAAGGACAAAGTGTCAACCTTCATTTTGAATTGTCTTGCTATGGTTGGTTAGAGGTCAAAATGTCACCTGTAAACGGGTGGAACAACACAGAATGGGACTGTTGTCCATGGACATTTACTACCTATAAAAGAAATACTTCAAGGAATCAATGACTTCTGCCTTCCTTGTGGTAACTTGAGCATAAACTTTAATTGCCACCATCTCCATCTTATATTTTAAGTCATGTCTTGGTCATAATTTTTAAAAACCAGCCTGGGTTGAGTTTTACCCTCAATTGAATTTTTAAAAGGCATGTAGAAAGCCTTTGAGAAATATCACGTGTAATAAAAATGTTACCATGCAGAGATTATGATAATGGAGTTATGAGAAAATAGAGGTTGTAATGTTGTTTTTGTTCGTGGAACACAAAATCGTGTGCTTTCAAATACTGTTGTAGTCCTTAAGGACTTTAACAGAATTTTTGAAACTTCGTACCAAACTTTTGACGTACGTGTTAGTAAAATATCTTATTTACACGCCCTGTAAGTGAAGCATGTAAGAACACCGTAAAGACATATTAAGGCTAGCTTAAGTTCTGCCCACTGGTGCTTGCCACTGTCAGGGTCTGAATTTGTAGATTTCACCTTTGGAAACTGCTGGCACTCTAACGAGGGGGTATGTAACAGAGTCCCAAATTGGTATTATTCCACATTTAGTTTGGATGTGAGTCACATATATGTATAAAATGAGTGTAGACTACTAATCAGTGGCAAACAACTACCTTCCCAGTGTAGGTACTGCTCTGTCCTGAGAAGCCAGGGGAGACCCATCTCCTCACCTAATTGATGGTTACGTGCTGCTCAAGACGGTAATGATGACAAAGTGTTTCTTAGAGCATCCCTGTCTCTGTGCTGAAAGCATCATTGCCTCTCCAGAGTCCCCTCACTGTAGGGCTCCACCCGGGCTGTCTTTCATCCCTTTGGATGAGGGCTTGGGACTTCTCTCCTTGCTGCACTTTGAACCTGACCTGACATATGGTGTGTCCCATTGTGCTTTCCTTCATATCCAGGCTCTGTCAAGTGACAGCTGAGGAATAACATAAGTAAGTGCTGGCGTATTAATGGGCATGGTGGCTTTTTAGTGACAGTGTCTTAACTGAAAGAACTTGCTCTAATTTTAAGAAATCGAGCCATTTCTTGGGCCAGTTGTGGGTGTGGGGGGGCAGGCAGAGCTCTTTTTGTTCCTCTTTAAAGTGCGCCTCATAGATCACAAACTCCTCCTGTTTCCTTCAGCTCCCTCTAACCTTACAATATAAAGTCCAGGCAAGCGGCCTTGAGTTCTGAGCCAGTGGTTCTCAAACTTTAGCATGCATTGGAGTCACCCTCAGGACTTTTTGAAACAGATTTTTGGAGACCACCCAGGGAGGCTCCCTGATTAGTAGGTTTTGGGGGGTTGGCCAGGGGAGTTGATAACGTGCATTTCTAACAAGTTCCCAGATGATGCTGGTTCTGAGACCACCGCCTTGAGAGCCCTGCTCTAAGTTCATCATTTTGTATTTTTTAAGATGTGACTTCTGGTAGATGGCTTACATTCAGAATTTAGTTAATGTTTAGTTTTTATCATGATCTTATTTACACCTCTCTGACTGGACTGTAAAAAGACCCCATCTCTGTAGTTTGGTATTGACTGAACACATCGATCTATCCTGTTTTTTTGTTTGTTTGTTTCTTTGTTTTTTGCGGTACGCGGGCCTCTCACTGCTGTGGCCTCTCCCGTTGCGGAGCACAGGCTCCGGACGCGCAGGCTCAGCGGCCATGGCTCACGGGCCCAGCCGCTCCGCGGCACGTGGGGTCTTCCCTTACCGGGGCACGAACCCGCATCCCCTGCACCGGCAGGCAGACTCTCAACCACTGCGCCACCAGGGAAGCCCATATCCTGGTTTTTGACACAGAAAATTATCCTGGAATTCTCTCTCTTAATATGTATTATATACACATCATAATGATCATTTATATATTATATATGTATTCTTTTATTTATCAATTGCCCTATACCAGAAACAAGATTTGACAGATGGAGAACTCAGAATAAGACCTTAATACATCCTCTGTAGTTCTCAGGCAGTGGATTTGCGGTAAGGAATTGGCTAACTGAAAGACATAAAGATCTTACTGCAGATCACAGAGATGGGCCAAGACAGTTCTTGGTCCCAACTCCCTAAAGCCACGTGTATCTTGGAAAAGCCAGAATGATTAGGCCAGGAGGGCACTCAGGAGCCAGCCACTCTGAGCTTCTGCTCCTAAGCAGGATCGTACTTACATCAGCTTTGACTAAGAAGTCATGGTCTTAAGCATCTCTAGGGAAGAAGATGATGCTGACTGACAGTACTTCTAGGACCACAGTCCACGTCTTCCGTCACACTCAGACGTCCCAGGCACACTGATGTGACAAAGA